CTTTCTTGACGATATGAGATGCAGCAGTAGAACTAGGACCCCTTCTTGTTCCTGAGTTTTTTTAGTATTTTGACACTTTTGCTTTCCTCGGCCAGTTGTTCGGTGTTGTACAATTGACCAAGGGAAGCTAAAATGCCAAAACAGCAAAATTTTGAGGGTTTTTTCTGAAAGGTTTTCTTCTGAATGTTTTTGGGGGCTTTTTCTGAAATTGTTCTAAAATGATTTTTATCATTTTTGCACTGCCATAACTAAATTTTGAGATTTTCTGACTGAATTTTTCGTTTTCCTGGCTAAATATTTGCTTCCATTGATGTAGTTCTACTGCATGCATTTATGCGGTCACATTTGCGCCACCTTCTGGGCCGGAGAGGACTGCGATTTCTTTTTTTTCCTTTGAATTGAAGCAGTTTTGTGATAATTTTCATAATTCAGGATGAACATAAATGTTCTTTGCGTTGTACAGAATGCACTGATGGCTTTTGCCCATTCTTACCGGAAAATGCAAAATCGACTGTGAAATGCAAGAAATGTGGCAATGAGAGCAGTATCGTTGTTAGCGATGTGTTGGAATTATGGCAAAAAATGGAAAGCTGTGGTATGTATTTTCACGAACTTTTCCCACCAAAACGCTAAAAACAGCTAAAACTCTGCTGTACGCTTTTTTTTTTTGAGATAATTATTGCTTTATTCCTTCCGGCGCGTTTTTACGTATTTATGTAATTGATACCATCACTGGCTCAATTACTCCATTCTTCTCTATTTTGGACTTACCTTAGTCATAGGATTCTAAACAGTAATTTAAGGCTTTTAAAGCATTATATTTTGATATAATTAGGACTATGTGCTTATTTGCTTCGTCCACCATATTAGCCAATATAACAGTTAGTATTACTACTCTTCTTCCACAATACTTTCTTACTATTAACATTCATTAATACAATTAATTTAACCTTTAAAATCTATTAACTTCAATACCACAATCGTCATACTGACGAGATCCAGTCGTGGTAATGATAAGAAATGTATACAACTTAATGGGCCGAAAAATTTTTTACCATTATAATGATCTCACAAAAACTTTCTAATTTTCATTATTTGCTATCTTTTTTTCCTTTTTCTTGTCTTTTCTTTCATCCTTTTTTACTAAAACTTTCCATTACTACTAGAAGCTTTTTAACTTTGGATCGATTTTTTCAAGAAAATTTTTTTCACAGTCTTTAACAGCGGCGGTTTTTCATTCAAAAAAATGCATCAGTCCCTTTGAAATGTTTGTATGAACTATTATTATGAACGATTATTTTCCTATTTTTTGCCTCCATCAATCCATCTTATATCTCAAATATTTCAGATTCCAGTGAAAAAGATATGGATAAATTACAGAGGCTATATGACAAATGTGAAAAAGTCTTCTCGCCATATAATGTGGCACTTTGTCGTTTAGCAGAAACTATCATGGGGCTAGCGCTGGCAATGGAGAACTATGCGATAGCTGCAAAATATACCGAAAAAACATTTATTTGCTTCAGGTCAGTCGGATTTGGATTTCCAAATTCCCAAAAAATCAAATCCCACACCGCGTTTTTATGTAATCATTTTTATGCCGTTAATGAAATTGCTTTTGAATGCTTCGATTACCCAGAGAATGAGATATGGCAAAGGTTACGATGGGGCTTGAGATTTTATAGAATAAAGGATTGCGGTAAATTTTCCTAAAACTCCGGATTTTTTCTTTTCGCTGATTAGTTGAGATCCAGTGCGTAGATCCACTAGCGGATTCAGGAGGGACGTGGAGTCTTTCGCCTCTTCTCTTCCGCTAGGAGCTCAGGTAGCAGCTGTTTTACTAGAAAACTCCGTTCGATACCGCCTGTTGTCCCCTCTTCAGGGCCTCTCCACCCCCTCCCCCCGGTCATCGCCGTAGTTTAGGGTCGCAAGCGGTGGTAGGGGTAGCGGGACAATCGAGTGGCGGGTAGCAAGGTGGCTGAAGTGGAAGATATGGCGACGAAGGGGTGTGAGGGGCGGAGGAGGGGAAAGAAAAATCCCTTCTCTTCTCCTCCCTCCCCTCCCTTACGCCTAGGAGACCGTTCTGGATCCGCCTATGCGCAGATCTATAGTTTCCGTGTCACCACTCGTTACTCGTTGGTTTGTCATCGACTGGTCTTTGATCCTTAGATCTTTTGAAAAAGGAGGATAGATGGTAGATTGCCAGTATGCCATGAAACTGCACGAATTGGCTGATTTATCCAGAAACAAATCCGACTAAACTGTCATACGCTGCCGCCAAGTTGCAAACGCCAATGCTATCTCATTCGTTTCAGCACATTTTATCCAAGGCTTCATCCGGCGTTGACTGTACGTACATACGAATATTCCAAAATGCTAATGTTGGATCGAAAATACGAATGCTTACAATTCCTCCAACAGGTCTTATTTTTTTTGAAAGTTTTGAAAATTTTTCATAACGCATAGTTTTATGCAGTTAAAATTTTGCTGTGAATCATTCGTTTTCTTCTTTTTTTAAGAAAAGAAAGAGTTTCAGGCATTCCAGATGATGTGTGACAGTTATGGGCCTGAAAGTGATTTTGCGGCGGAAACAGAGAAAATTTTAAATGACGTCCTCCATCCAGACCCATCTCATGAATAATCCATTGCTCATGGTTTCAATTTTTCACTACTTTTTTGATGATCTTTTTAACTGATTCTGTTGACTGTGATTGATTATTTTGTCTGTGAATGATCTTTGAAACGGCTGCTAATTAACCCTTGATTCGAGCGGCGCAACGGGCAGCAATTCCATGTTTTTTTTTTTATTTCATGTTTGTTTTGATTGATATTACATCCCGCAGTGGCCGGTTTTCCGGAATCTCGACATTACTTTCGTCTTCTGAAAGGATATCGGCTTAATGGGGCTGTCTTGATAGAATCACTTT